TGCTAACCAAGTTTAGCAAAAGAGCCTTTACCAGAACCTTCCACAGTCAGGAGTTCTTAACCTTCTTTGTGTCTTGAAAAAGAGTAAACAACAATGTAGTCAAGTTTGTGGAGCTTTTCTTAATGATTCAAAATGCATACGATATATAGGGTTGCAAAGGAAATCAATTATAATAAAGCAGTTATAAAAATATTTTTATTTTTTCCCCAGAGATGCTAGATATAAAAATACTTTTTAATTGTGATATAGTAATGTGTATTTGTTAATGAAATAAGATCTGGCAGTAGTTTTGATAACTGCTGTGAATTTGGAGTAGTGAAGAGCACAAATAATATTTCAAGATATTTGCACCAAATCAATGTGATATAAAAATATCTGTAATTTATTTTGATGACAGAGTCACAGATACTACTAAGACTATTGTAACTTGTTGCCTACGTTAATAATAGAAGGAAATGCTGTATTTTTAGTTAGAGGTTAATGAAATAAGGATGTAATTTTACCCCCATCCAAGTTCATGGACTTTATTGTTTTGTCCACAGAGGCCCAGGTTTGATCACCAGTGCTTCTAAGTGCAACAGAACTCTGGTCAGTTGGGTAAGAAACAGATCAGACTCAAGCTCTGGAAAGTATTTGGCAAGGCATAAATAACCATTATTCCATTCAAGTAGCAATTGCTGTTCTGTACAAAAAAATGTGATGATGTGGTGCAATGGGTTATAACTGTGGAAAATCATTTTGATGGAGTGGACACCAAAGCTGCAAAGGCTGAGGTCAACACTGAGGGGCAGGGGACATCAGAAAATCAGCATCAAAACATCAGGCTGTGCAGTCAAAGGCAAGGAAAAGTTTCCTTTATTAAAGGCTGTCATAGTATTAATAAATGGAAATTTTTTTTCTGCCGAAAACTGATAGGTAGTATCTTTCAATGCTTTGGTTAAAAATGGATTCCATTTACTTAATGTATAGTCACTGTATTTTATGAAGAGCATCTTCAATAATCTTGCCCTGTGATTATATACCATTTCTTACCTTTTAAAGTACAATTGTCTCTGTTATTGTGTTTATGAATATAAAATCACTGCTATGTTTTGAATGGTCCTATACCTTGTCAGTGGCAATACTGAAACCAAGGGGCTCATAGTTGTGTCAGTGGGAAAAATACGTATTAATTTAAAATAGAATAGAATAGAATTTTTAATAGAATAGAATAATAATTTTTAATAGAAATTTAAAAACCAGATCTGACTTTTAAATTTCTCAGTAGTGAGTTTTCTTTTATAGATAAACTTAGGCACAAAGGTGATGTATTAACTAACAGACACACAGAATTCTGTCATGGGTTTAGTGAAGTACATAATTTCCCTTAGAAATGAGAAATGTGGGCAATATATTATAGCTTTTGAAATGTAATAGTTAAGTTTCATGAGCATTTTGTGGAGAAGACTAGTTGGCTCATTCTTTCATTCATTCAAATATATATCCAGAACCCCATTCAAGGCTCCACCACCAGCCAGTGATTGGTCCCCATGCTTACCTCTCTTCTTTCTCCGATTTCCAGATTTCCATTCTTTCTGCGTTTCCTTCTTTCTTTGTGCCAGCTGCCACTGACCGTTCTCTCCTGCTGCTGCTAGCAGGATTCCTCCCCTTCTAGAGCCCTTTGCACTTCGATTCTTACCTCACTTCTCCTTTACCCTTCTTTTTAGTTCTTCCTGTCTGTCTCATCAAGAAGAAAATACCTTATGTCCTCTTTCTCCTCCTTTCTAGCCGAAAGTTTCCCTGTCCCAACTCCGTCTTTAATGAGAAAAAATGTTACATGCAACTTTGCCCTAAACCAACTCTTACTTCTGAAAACAAAACAATTAGTTAGGAAAAGTGAGACACATACCACTTTTATTCTGACTGGCCAATGTTTCTTCTTTCCAGGTGAATCCAGAGCAGAGTGTATCTGCTCCCAGGCACATAGTTGCAAAGATCTGTCAATATGCAGCAAAGGTTGACAGTGGTTTCAAACATAGTGACCCTTGTTCACAGTTTCTCCTTTTCTCGGCTTTTCAGTGTGTAATCAAAATTATTGAGAAAACATATTTCAGGATGTTACTGCATTTCTTAAAGGATTTGAGACACTGGAGCAGGAAGGCACATTCATGGCGATCAACGATGGCTGGCAGTTTACCTAGACTGTTACTACTGCTTTTTCTATGATGACCACCTCCACTTCTGTGTTCTTAGCAGTTGTGGTAGAAATAGTCATTACAGTGCATTGAGCTCTTAGTATATGCTAAGCCCTTTTATGGATGGTCTTACTAATCCTCACAAAACTCCCAAGAGGTTGGTACCTGCATTTTACAGGTAAAGAAACTAAGACTCTGAGAGGTTTTTTTTTTTTTTTGAATTTTTAAATGTGATTTATTTTCTTTTTTTTTTCTTTTTTTTAAATTGCATTTTAGGTTTTGGGGTACATGTGAAGAACATGCAAGATTGTTGCATAGGTACACACATGGCAGTGTGGTTTGCTGCCTTCCTTGCCCTCACCTGTATCTGTCATTTCTCCCCATGCTATCTCTTCCCACCTCCCCATCCCCCGTCCCTCCCCCATTTCCCCCCAACGGACCCCAGTGTGTAGTGCTCCCCTCCCTGTGACCATGTGTTCTCATTGTTCAACACCCACCTATGAGTGAGAACATGCAGTGTTTGATTTTTTGCTCTTGTGTCAGTTTGCTGAGAATGATGGTTTCCAGGTTCATCCATGTCCCTACAAAGGACACGAACTCATCATTTTTGATGGCTGCATAATATTCCATGGTGTATATGTATCACATTTTCCCTATCCAGTCTATCATCGATGGGCATTTGGGTTGGTTCCAGGTCTTTGCTATTGTAAACAGTGCTGCAATGAACATCAACTCAATGAAATAAAAAGAGAAGGGAAGAATAGAGAAAAAAGCGCAAAAAGGAATGAACAAAATCTTCAAGAAATGTGGGACTATGTGAAAAGACCTAATCTACATTTGATAGGTGTACCAGAATGTGATGAAGAGAATGAATCCAAGCTGGAAAATACGCTTCAGGATGTTATCCAGGAAAACTTCCCCAACCTAGCAAGGCAGGCCAATATTCAAGTCCAGGAAATACAGAGAACACCACAAAGATATTCCTCACAAAGAGCAACCCCAAGGCACATAATCATGAGATTCACCAGGGTTGAAATGAAGAGAAAATACTAAGGGCAGCCAGAGAGAAAGGTCGGGTTACCCACAAAGGGAAGCCCATTAGACTCACAGCAGATCTCTCAGCAGAAACCCTACAAGCCAGAAGAGATTGGGGGCCAATATTCAACATCCTTAAAGAAAAGAACTTTCAACCCAGAATCTCCTATCCAGCCAAACTAAGCTTCATAAGTGAAGGAAAAATAAAATCCTTTGTGAACAAGCAAGTACTCAGAGATTTCATCACCACCAAACCTGCTCTACAAGAACTCCTGAAAGAGGCTCTACACATATAAAGGAACAACCAGTACCAGCCACTCCAAAAACATACCAAATGGTAAAAGAGCATCAACACAATCAAGAATCTGCATCAACTAACCAACAAAACAGCCAGGTAGCATCAAAATGACAGTATCAAATTCACACATAACAATACTATCCCTAAATGTAAATGGACAAAATGCCCCAATCAAAAGACACAGACTGGCAAATTGGAAAAAAACCAAAACCCATCAGTGTTCTGTATCCAGGAAACCCATCTTACATGCAAGGATACACAAAGGCTCAAAATAAAGGGATGGAGGAAGATCTACCAAGCAAATGGAGAGCAAAAAAAAAAAAAAAAAAAAAAAGCAGGAGTTGCAATTCTCATCTCTGATCAAATAGACTTTAAAGCAACAAAGATCAAAAGAGACAAAGAAGGACATTACATAATGGTAAAAAGATCAATGCAACAAGAAGAGCTAACGATCCTAAATATATACGCACACAATACAGGAGCGCCCAGATACATAAGGCAAGTTCTTAATGACTTACAAAGAGACTTAGACTCCCACACAATCATAGTGGGAGACTTTAATACCCCATTGTCAATACTAGACAGATCAACCAGACAGAAAATCAACAAGGATATCCAGGACCTGAACTCAGACCTGGAACAAGCAAACCTAATAGACATTTACAGAACTCCCCACCCCAAATCCACAGAATATACATTCTTCTCAGCACCACATCACACCTACTCTAAAATTGACCACATAATTGGCAATAAATCACTCCTCAGCAAATGCAGAATGGAAATCATAACAAACAATCTCTCAGACCACAGTGCAATCGAGTTAGAACTCAGAATGCAGACTCAGAGGTTTTAACTGAGAGGTTAAAAATCACTTGCCCAAGATTATGTAATTTAATTATCAGAAGCTAGGATTTCAAACTAGTTCTTTCAGACTTCAGAGCCTATTTTCTTAACCTTTATGCTGCCTGCAAGATGCTGAAAAAAAAATTAGCCTTGGAAATTGCAAAAGCTCAGCTGCCTGGGCCCACTCAGGGCAGGGCAGGTAACTCTGTGCCCTCACAAGAGAATGGTCTTGACAATGGTCATTCTTAGACATCAGTGGTGTTACAGTTCCAGTTTCCCTATATAAAATGTCAGTGAAATGTGAAATACATTGGAGGATGAATTCTGTCAAGAAGGTTCTGTCTCCTTGATTGGTAAAAGTTAATTATCTGGGAAATTCATTTATTTAAAGCAGCTCATTGCAGGATAAAGAAGGTATTACATCATGTTAACAAACTAGTTTGTGTTATGTTTAAAAGACTGAATTTTAAAATGCACTAGGTTAAGTTTCCTTATTTTGGTGACATGAAATATAAGAATGAGTTATAAAGCTATTTTCAAAATAACATTATAAAGTTATTCTCAAAGAAAATTCTCAAAGAAAATGACATTCATGTACCTGTCTTTGGTGTGTGTATATGTTCCCCTATTAATGGGGGCTGTTCCTACAGCTAAGAAGAAATTTCCCAACTTGCTTGTCTTCTTGGAAGATTCCTCCTCATGTCCCAGAATCTTCTGCGTCAGAAGCTCTACTCAATATAACAAATAATGGAGTGCCCTTTGTTCCACTGCAAACATTTACAGATGAGGAAATGATGATAAAGAGTTCAGGTAAGTAAATTTATCAGCGTCACCTTTTTTTCCACAGACAGGGTTTCACTCTGTCAGCTAGGCTGGAGCATAGTGGCACAATCATGGCTCACTGCAGCCTCACCTCTGGGTTCAAGCTATCCTCCTGCTTCAGCCACCTGAATAGCTGGGAAAATGTCACCTTATTATTCCTCTGGTCATGAATTGGACCTACAATATGAAGTCACATACGACTTGTTTGAAAGATATGTTCATCTACATTTGTGAATGTAGTTGTTTTTGACATAAATTCTTTTTGAAGAAAAGCAATGCATATCCAAGATTAAAACAACAGAATAAAAGCCTCTATGGTTAAAGATGAAGACTTTCCCACCCTGTTCTCTAGTTCTCCAGTTCCTGCCACCTTGGTACCAGTTTCTTATATAGCCTTGCAGAGTTAGAAGTACATATGTATTCCACTTTTCTTTAGATAGTGGGTTTTCATACTTTCTGTGGAATTTAAATTTTACCTTTATCTATGCCTGTGGTTGAAACAGGGAGCCTGAATGAAGAAGCAGAAGTTACATGCCACTAAACCTTAAAGCAGTTTGCATTCATTTATTTATAGGAATAGATGTAGGTGTAAAATTATGATATATTTTAAAATCTGTAGCAGAACATCAGAATATTGTTCTTGGAGAATATGGATGATAGGTGTATTTGTTTTCTGTTGCTGGGTATTGCATCACAACAAACTTAACAGGTTAAAACAACACCTGTGTAGTGGCTCACAGTTCTGTAAGTCAGAAGGCCAGCTGGAGCAAGTCCAGGCTCAGGGTCTCAGAAGGCCAACATCAGTGTGTCAGTTGGGCTGAGTTTCATCCAGGGCTCAGGGTCCTTCCAAGCTCCCATGGCTGTGTCAGAATGCAGTTCCTTGAAATTGCAAGCCTGAGGTCCTTTTGCCCGGCTGGCTGTCAGCGAGAGGTTGTCCCCAACTCCTGGAGGCCTCTGTATTCCTTGCCTTATGACTCCCTCCATCTTCAAAACCAGTAGCTCTCCCTCCCAGCATCAGATCTCTCTCATTCTTAAAACCTGTTTCACCAGAAAGAGCCCCATCTTTTTTTAAGAGCTCACCTGATTAGGTCATGCCCACAAACTGTCATCTCCCTGTTTTAAGGTCGGCTGATTTGGGAGCCTAATTGTACCTGTAAAATCCCTTCACAGCAGCACTTAGATTCATGTTTGACCGTATAACTGAGAGAGTACATATATACACCAGCGGCTGGGAATCTTGGTGCTGTCTTAGAATTATGTCTGTCATAATAATAAGTAAGTTTCTTTTCTCTTTCTTTTTTTTCTTTATTTGAGATGGAGTTTTGCTCTTTTTGCCAGGCTGGAGTGCAGTGACATGATCTTGGCTTACTGCAACCTCTGCCTTCCCGGTTCAAGTGATTCTCCTGCCTCAGCCTCCCAAGTAGCTGGGATTACAGGCACACCCCACCATGCTTGGCTAATGTTGTATTTTTAGTAGAGATGGGGTTTCACCATGTTTGTCAGGCTGGTCTCGAACTTCTGATCTCAGGTGATCCACCAACCTTGGCCTCCCAAAGTGCCGGTATTACAGGCATGAGCCACCACGCCCGGCTAGTAAATTTCTTTTCCTTTGCTCCCTCACCTTTTAGGTATGGTCTCAGGGAAGTGAGTTTGGGGTGTGTAAGGAAAAACAGGGTAAATGGTCAAATAGTTTACATAAAGCAAATAATTTGCTTAGAGTATCTTGTTCTCTGTCTTTAGTCACTTATGTTTATTTCTTTAGTACCCACCTGGCCTAAGTACAGAAGCAACAAAGATGGGCAAGAAAACAATCTTTTAAGGAACTCAGAGTCTAGTGGCAAAGACAGTCAAATAAAGGAAATAGTTTCAGAATAACACAGTACATGTCATGGAGGTGTTTGGGTAGCTAAGCAGAGGGCACCTACAATTTGCTAGGCATGGCAGAAGTGGGCTAAGGAAGCAGTCAGGAAAGGCTTCCCAGTGGAGCTTGAGCTATCCCATAAAGGACAAAGTGCAGTCGGCCAGTGGGCAAGGGGAAGGAAGAGACTCTACACAGAGGGAGTTGCCTGTTCAGAAACGAAGCAAGTGAGCCGGCCTGCACTGAACCATCAGTTTAGCCCGGTTGCCTTCTCTACCAACTTGGTATTATGTTGGTAGTAAACTTAAGAAAGTATTTTCATCAAAATGAATTCTAGACGCATCTAAGTCTTAAAACATTAAAAAATGAAACAGTGGTTTTCAACTGGGGCAAGTTTGCCACCAGGAGACATTTAGCAATATTTAGAGACATTTTTGATTGCCACAACTCAGAAGTAGAAGATGCTCCTAGCAGCTAGTGGGGTAGCAGCCAGGGATGCTGCCCAACATCCTGTGGTGCACAGGATGGCCCCACAACAAAGACCAAAATGTCAACAGTGCCAGGGTGGAGGAACCCTACCCTGTTCCATATGACCACGCGGTTATTAAAGGGACCACGTTAGATGGGATATGCTGACATAGAAAGATCATCAAGATATAGATGGGGGGAAACAAGGCACACACAAATATGTGTCTTATGATTCCTTTGTGTAAATGTGTGTGTGTGTGTGTGTGTGTATGTGTGTGTGTACAGGTAAGTATAGATGATTTTCAAAGAAAAGTTTTCAGAAAGAATGCATAGTAAAATTTAAAATGAGTTACCTTTGGGTAGAGCAGAGCATAGCTTTCATTTTTCATTTTACGCTTTCTTATTGTTTGTGTTTTTGCACCATCTACGTACATCATATACTTTGTAACGTCATCAAGAGTTACAAAGGGATGTGGGGAACTACACCTTGCTATGTTAAAAAGAAGACTTCATAAATTCTATTTTAAAAGTGTAAGAAGGGTACCTGTGTGTATTTTAACTTATTAGTTAAAATGTAAAATGTTATCAGCAAACCAGGAGCTATTATCATCTTTATTAATGTGGCTGTCACTTGAACACAGACTTATCAGTAATTCTTTTTTCCTGCAGTTAAAAAATTTGCTCAAGAACAACTTGCACCTTTGGTTTCAACCATGGATGAAAATTCAAAAATGGAGAAATCAGTAATACATGGATTATTTCAACAAGGGGTATATTTCATAATTCTTCACATTTCAACATTTTATAAAAACATATTAGTGTTAAAATATATGCATATTTTAAAATTGAGGGATGGTAATGATAGCATAATGAACCCTTCATTTTGCAGTCAAAATTATCTGTGTTCTTTTTTAGATTGAAATCCTCCTTAATGTTTACATACTTAAAAGTTTTTAAAAAAATGAAATTAACATTTTAAATTAGAAATAGTGTGCATGTTAAGGAAAGGTTTGGAAGTAAGACGATGACTTATTTGTATCTTTAGACCGGTGGTTCTCAACTGGGGGCAGTTTTGCCCTCCAGGGGACATTGGGCATTGTCTAGAGACGTGTTTGGCTGCCATAGCTGAGGCATGCTACTGGCATCAAGTAGGATAGAGACACGGGATGCTGCTTAACGTCCCACAGTGCACAGGACAAGTGCCACAGCAAAGAATTATCCAGCCCAATGCCACTGTGAAGAAATCCTACTTTCGATAGTAAAACTTCATAGTGTAGTTTATATTCTACCTGAATCCCTATATAAGTGATGACCTTAGAAGCAGAGGTGATACATGAACTTCAGATTAACCAGGCAACAGATTCCCATCTTTCCAAGTCACACAGCTCTTTAATGGAAGTACACCATATGAAATAGATACAAGTAAAACTGTTCTCACTGTGAGTTGGGGGAGAGGCTATTAGCATAGAGGCTTCTAGAAGAACATTTTAAAAATCACCGCACTCATCATTTCTCACTTCTCCAGAGGTATGAAATATTTATTTTTTTTATTTTTAATACTAAAGATGTCCCAGAACAAGTGGCTGCTATTCAGAGCCATTGACCTAAATCTTGTCTGCCATCCCGTTTGAAAAATAACCATTGCCACTTAGCTAGATAGTTTTATTTCCTTCTGTTTCAAAGCAACCAGCTTTTTTAATAGTGTGTGGAGTAGCGGTTCTTCCATCTTTCTTTTAGCAGTCAAACTCTTGGGAAAATGGAATCTTATGTGGAACTGTAGTGGTCAAACAGGCGGCCGATGTGGAGAACAGATGGATTCTGTGAGTCCATTCCTCAGCCGGGTTTTATTTGTATTGCTTGCAGACTCTCCAGGATTCTGGGAGCAGTCTCATTTTCACCGTGTGAGATCTGTGCAGCGCTCCTGCCTGCAGCGGGGCTGTCTGCAGAGTGATGCGTTGCCTGCACCCTGCTCCTCATCTCACAGACCACTCCGACACAGAGGCAGCCTCACCTGCCTCCGCACTCCCATTGCCCTGGCTCTTCAGTCATAATGGCTTGCAAAAACAGTATTCCCACTTTGGGAGAGATCAGTGACTTTTTTTTAGAGAAGCAGTGTCTCTGACATCTGTTAAACACCTTGTAATGAGGTAGCCAGTGTGCCCTCCTCGGTCCTCAGGCAAACCCAGATCCTTCGGATTGTCCTTGTTTCTGGGCTTTTTCACCAGTCACCCCCATTTCTGTTCTGTTTTCCTGTTGTAACCCAAAATGTAACAGCCACAACCCTAACTGCAGCATAGTGTGGCTCCAGGAATGTCTAGAGACTAAGAGCATTATCCTTCTACTAACAGCTGTGGGTTTTGAATTTCACATGCACACATGCCCTTGTGAAATTGAGAGTACTATCTGAGTTTCAGTCATGACGGAATGAGGTTGTTGGAAAGGCTTGGCTGGCACTGGTCATGTTTGCCAGGCACCTATGCCTTGGCTAGCGTGTCTCTAGCAAACACCACGCATGTTCTCTGCTAACCATCCTGAGCTTGTGACTGTGGCTTAAAGGGAATAGTCATTCAATTAACAGCTTGGCTGAAAAAGTCAAGGTGAAGGAGGCTGACTAGAATAAATTTTGCCAAATGAAACTGTAAACATTACTGTTGAAGAGAGGGTTATTTTCTCGTTTCCTTAATCAGCATAAGGTGGGTAGGGCATGTTGAAAAACCAAAACCCCACCTACCTTCAGGCAACAGTTCTTAGCAAGAAAGGTTATCTATTTATATAAGATATTTTCTCTTTCCATTCAGCTACCTTTCAAAGGGTTTTTTGAATCCCAGAAGGAAGCAAATGATAGCATGTAACTTCATGCTTTTCAAATATATAGTTTCTGATACAGATTTTTTTGTTATTGATGGCAAAATTGCCATACCAAATTAAAATAAAGGATACATACAAATTTTTTAAATGAAGAATAAATATGGTAGCCAGGCACGGTGGCTCACATCTGTGATCCCAGCACTTTGGGAGGCCGAGGTGGGTGGATCACCTGATGTCAGGGGTTTGAGACCAGGCTGGGCAACAAAGTGAAACCTGTTTCTACTAAAAATACAAAAAACAAACGAAAAAATTAGCCAGGCATGGTGGTGGGCGCCTGTAATCCCAGGTACTTGGGAGGCTGAGGCAGGAAAATTGCTTGAATCCAGGAGGCAGAGGTTGCAATGAGCTGAGATCGTGCCATTGCACTCCAGCCTAGGAAATGGAGCAAGACTCTGTCTCAAAAAAAAAAAAAAAATCAATATGGTTACATTTTATTTTTTAACTTGTTCTTGCAAGAAATTTCCCTGTATAAAAACAGGTTTCTTAATCTGTGTTGCCTTGTTTTTTCTTTAGTTAATGGGTATTGACACTGACCCGAAATACGGAGGTACAGGAGCTTCATTTTTTTCCACTGTGCTCGTGATAGAGGAGTTAGCCAAAGTGGATGCATCTGTGGCTGTCCTTTGTGAGATCCAGAACACACTAATTAACGCACTGATTAGAAAATTTGGAACAGAAGAACAAAAGGCCACCTATTTGCCTCAGCTCACTACAGAAAAAGTGAGTTGAGATGAATTGTTGATCTAATGGATCAAATCTTTAGTAAATTTACAGTATTTTCAGGAAAAAAGTAGCTGCAATGTTGACTTTACGATCCAAGACTACAACACATTATCATTAATTCAAGCAACGCTCAATACATTAATGCTGCTGAAAAAGTACACCCTGCCTCTTATTTCCACTTGGAAATTTAGAAAATAATCATCAGATAGTAAAATTGTTTCTTTTTGTCCCAATTATATTTGCTAATATCTTTGTTGATGGTTTCATTTACATTGTGATATCTTTCTACAATAATTATTAAAATCAATTTTAATTAGTATGTGCTCATATATTTTTGGAAAATAATATTTTCAAAACACCATTACTATTTTCATAAACATAGGCTTTTTTTAAAAAGCAGCTAGAGATTTGATTTATAAATGTCCATTTTGCCATAAGTATTTGTTATGCAGAGTATGAATACAGTTATTAATTTGGACATTTTTTTCTCCCATATATAGGTAGGAAGTTTCTGCCTTTCGGAGGCTGGAGCAGGTAGTGACTCATTTGCTTTGAAGACCAGAGCTGATAAAAAGGGCAATTATTATGTCCTCAATGGGTCAAAGTTGTGGATCAGCAGTGCTGAGTATGCAGGGCTCTTTCTGGTGATGGCGAATGTAGACCCTACCATTGTAAGTTTGAAAATGAAATTCCTTTCTTTTTCCCCACTTCTTTTCTCTTTCCTTATCTTTTCCTCCTTCTATTTCCTTTTTAGGACTTCATCATAAATTCTCTACTTTCTCAGTACTGAAAATGTCAGATTAGAGGTGGTATTTTTTTCACTTTACGTATTAATCTCCTAAAATAAATATTGTTGACACAGTTATTAGAGTTGGCCCACCATACCCATGGATTCAGCCAACTCCGGATTGAAAATATTTGGTTGAAAAAAAAAAATTCTACAAAGTTCCAAAAAGTAAAATTTGAATTTGCTTCGTGCCCAGTACTATGTTGAATCCACCTGAATAAAGTGATGTGTATGCATTATATTAGGTATCAAATAATCTAGAGATGACTGAGCATCTACAGGAGCATATGTATAGGTTATATGCAAATATTACATTATTTTATGTAAGGTACTTGAGCACTGTCGGATTTTGGTATCCATGGTTGAGGGTTGGGTCCTGGAACTACTCCCCCACAGAGATGGAGGTATGACTGTTTGTGGAGAACCAATTATTACTTATCTCCTAATGTATTATATAGAAAAATAATCTTTTTTTTTTTTTGATATGGAGTCTCACTCTGTCTCCCAGGCCGGAGTGCAGTGGCATGATCTCACCTCACTGCAACCTCCACCTCCTGAGTTCAAGCAATTCTCCTGCCTCATCCTCCCAAGTAGCTGAGACTGTAGGTGTGCACCACCATGCCCAGCTAATTTTCGCATTTTTGTAGAGACAGGGTTTCCCCACGTTTGCCAGGCTGGTCTTGAACTCCTGATGTTAAGTGATCTGCCCACCTCAACCTCCTAAGGTGCTAGGATCATAGGCGTGAACCACTGCACTTGGCCCTAATCTTTAATTTTTTTGAATTTCCAATTTTCTGTTTAGTAATGAAGAATTTAAGTATCTATTTAGTACATTTATTTTTAAGAATATTTTATTCTTAGTTGGAAAATGGACATTTCCTTTGGAAAATAGACATATAACAAAATAATAAATATATTTTTTTCACCAGTAAATGCAGTATTTTCACTAATGTAACAATTGAATTAAATTGCTAAAACTTTTTTTTTCCAAGATGGAGTTTCACTCTAGTTGCCCAGGCTCAAGTGCAATGGCGTGATCTCGGCTCACTGCAAACTCCGCCTCCTGGGTTCAAGCGATTCTCCTGCCTCAGTCTCCAAAGTAGCTGGGATTACAGGTGCCTGCCACCACACCCAGCTAATTTTTGTATTTTTAGTAGAGATGGCAATTCACCATGTTGGCCAGGCTGGTCTTGAACCCCTGACCTCAGGTAATCCACCTGCCTTGGCCTCCCAAAGTGCTAGGATTATAGGCATGAGCCACCACACCTGGCTTAAAACTTTGTATAGTAAAATTAAATTAAGAACATGGCATTCTCATGATCATATAATTGTGTAATAATAATTTTAATATTTATAATGGTTTCTGAAAAAGTGAAAGAAATGGTAAGGTTCTATAGTTTGGATCTAGTGTCCTCTAATTACTCTCATTTCATAATGCCCATGTTGCAATTCTGAGTCTGTTAGTAGTTATTATTAAAGTCCATTTTTAGTTTTCTTTTTGCTTGAACTCTTTAGAAACAAGGCATTTTATAAATCCAAGCGGTAATAGCATTTTAAATCTTCTTTTTAGGGATATAAGGGAATTACCTGCTTCTTAGTAGATCGCGATACTCCCGGCCTTCATATAGGAAAACCTGAAAACAAATTGGGGCTCAGAGCTTCTTCCACCTGCCCATTAACATTCGAAAATGTCAAGGTGGGTATCTTAGACAAATCAGTAAAAGACTGATGTGAAATAAGCCTTGCATGGAACTACAGGAGGTGTGCAAGACGGGTGTCAAAATATTAAGTGGCCGTAAGCACACATGGGAGAGTATTTTGTAAAACCCTCAACAGTGAGTGCTCTTTAGTCATGATCAAATAAAGGTACTTCTCACAAAAGCGGAAACCTTCCTGCCCGGAAGCTGTCCTGGGGAGCAAGTGTCAAGAATTTGTCCCATTTATGTTTTATAACTTAGGTACTTCTGACCATGTATACTTAATAAACTTGAGACTTGTGAACCAAGCAGGGCTGCAGAGGAGGAAGTCTGGTGTCAGTGCACCAAAGGCCACAAGATGGGGATGTTGCTCAGTGAGCAGAAACAGCCGGGCTGTTAAATGTGACTGGCAGATCAGGGATGCTAGTGCTGGTGCTGTAGAACTCTCCGTAGGTGGGGCAGGTGGTGGTGGGTTTTCCATCACTCGTCACAGACAGAGCTTGATCTTTTTTTGCACGGCTATGGGGAGCAAGGGGGAGGATGTCTTTACAGATGTCATTTGGGCCTCACTACCTCACCCCAGCTGTTTTCCTCATCCCTACTTTGCCTTTTCTTTCTCCATTCTCCCTACTCTCTCCCCCAGCTTCCAATATTATAAAACTAAGGATAGTTTTTTATTATTCCTAATTCTTAATTTTTTGAAACTATGAATAAGCATTTTAGTCTGTTTCTTCTGTCTTCCTCTTTCTCTTTCTTGAGCATACACATGTGTACACCCATATACACACATATATACCCCACAGTTGATTTTTGTGAGGACGAATGGTCTCAACAGCCGAAAGGCTTACTACACTTGTTTTTGCAATTATTTGCATATTTTTGTAGTTCCTAATATATTATCTCACACTGTAGCCTACAGATAAGAATTGGAGGGAAAAGTATTAATTTATGTTATTGATGAATTCTATGAGATTCCCTTACTCTAGATTCACTCACCCATTCAATAACCTATGCAGGGCTCTGGAGGATGCAATCATGAACAGCATGGACTTGAGTCCTTTTCCTCAAAGAGAGTTGCGGGAAAAAACAGTGTAGAGAGAGACACAGATACCAGCAAGTACTGTGAGAGGGCTAGCACATGAATTGAGAGTCTATACACACTTAAAAATATAGAATCAAAATGAATCATGTAAAATGAAACTGAGAAATAAGTGCACATTTGTATTTTCAGGTTCCAGAAACCAATATCTTGGGACAAATTGGACATGGCTATAAGTATGCCGTAGGGGGTCTTAATGAAGGTAGGATAGGAATCGCTGCACAGGTAAGTCAAATTTAAACTCATCCATGATGTGAATCGATTAAAATGTGAAAAGAAAAAGAATGCAATGAGCCCAGTGAATATTAGAAAGCTTGTGGACACAAGATGGCACCATTCCCTTAGATGAGGGACAGGATGGCTTCTGATTATTTCTTTCAAATTCCCTTTTGGTCAATTATGTAAGTGTCCAGAGAATCAAACAATGGCATGGTGGTAACAGTGTTTCTGCTTTGAGAACATTAAAGTATTATCGAATACCTGAACCAATAACTTTAAAAATGTATATAAATTAAATATGGCATTTTAAAAAAAAGCAACTTTCCAAATCATGAAATTCATTCTGGAGGCAATTTTTTACATTAAGAATAAATAATATTCATTCCACTTTGTAGTAAGGATCTCTTATCTGTAGCTAATAAAAGATTTGTTGCGTAGTGTTTTGCATGTGAAAACTAGGCAACATTTTTGGTGGTACACGAAATGAAATAGCCACAATTAAGTAGGGATATAAAATGAGAACTATTCAAATTTTTTTGACCAAATTTGCCTTTTATAATGCATATTGCATTTTTTCATTAAGTGATATCAGTTATTTTCCAGATTAACAAAGTGAATACGGTCTTGGGCTTTACTATAGATGATATCATTTTTGTAGAGTATATTTTCAATCAGTGATTATACAAAACTCAAGAACTTACAGCTTTCCAATTTTGAAGATGTTAAATATATATTAGCTATTGAAATAAATAATAGATTATTACTCTAGATTTTTTTCTGCTGCTGTTACATTGCTAACTATTCTTAGATCAAAACTTAGTCCAGTTTTCCTACAATGCTAGACAGTGTGTCACTAAAGAGTGTTGTTTTATCAGTTCTTTTAAAAGTTTTTCTGTGATTTAACTTAGATATGGCATTAAAAACTACAATACTAGGTCTCATTTTTTTCAGACATATAAATAATATAGATGTTCTGGCAATAAAATACACGGACTGGGCCTCGGTCTAATTACTCCAACTTACCTAATAACCTAATTAAAAGTTAAGGTCAGGTAGTTACTCTCTCAGTGGATGCCTTTGAGAGGAACAGACACATGGAGTGTAACATAGTGAACTGAAGGCGTCTGTCCTCGAAACCTTGCAGGCAGAGAGAATTCAGTTTTTCAGTGTTTGTAATGGATACCTTTTGCTGAGGTAGAAAAGCCCATTTTGATGGACAACCGATCATTTCAGTCTTCATGTTGATATAGGATATTATTCACGTACAAATTTTAGCTGTAAGAGTATAGTGACATCATCTTATCTTACAGCCAAGAGTGCAGTGATGCCTCATTTGAATTTGGGATTTGTGGTTTTTGTGTCCCTTTAATTTTTAACATATTATTCTGTTCTCTAGAGAGTTCAAAATAAAAGACTAAAAGAAAAAGTGAATAAATACTAATGAAATATTGATAAGTTTGCTGGGCATTTCCCCAAAAAGCTTTAGCTATGATTTTCTAAAACCAGAATTTGACATAATTAGATAGTGATTTAATGGCTCTCTAATGTTGAGATTTAGAAACCATTTCTAAGCTTCAATCATAATAGATATGAAGGTTGGCTGGCAATGAGATGGTTCAGCTAAAATTGTCACCATGTCCTGTGTAAATTAGCGTTTTTACTAGATGCTTTCTATCCATTGTTCTCAACCCTCGCTGTGTATTAAGTCACCTAAGGAGTTTTACAGAGTTGAGGTTTAGCTCACACTCCTCCACCCACAGTACTCACAAGATTTGGGTTCAGTCATTAGGCCTGCGTATCAGTATTTTTTTCAATCAAGTTCCCCAAATGATTCTGTGGTGCAGTAGGGTTAAGAAACACTGATCTCTTATGTTCTAATGCCCTTTCCACTAAAGCTCTTATTAATCCTACTCATATACAAAATAGATAGGAAAGTAGAAGGTTAGGAAGTGACCTTCCACATTTTACTTCTAGAACTAGAGGGAGTTCCTCTACAGTCTTCAAGGCCAGTTCTGAGCAAAACATCTATGGCTCATTTTTTACCTGGAGAATCAGAGCTTAAAGAATATTCCTAAAAAGTAGTCTGGTTTTGTGAACACAGCCTTGCTGGAATATTTACTTCTGCTAGAATTAAATATACTCATATTCATATGAAATCACTCAAAACTTTCTCCCAATTATCGGAAGTTCAGTTCTACAAATGCAGTAGGTGAAGATGTGATATTAACACACACCTTAGCACCTCAGGATCTCTAGTTCTTTCCCTACCCCAACCATTCATTTTATGTTTAGAAGGAATTTACAACTTGGATCATTAAACTTGTAACAAAATAAGAACTTCTGATCTTTTTTTTTTTTTAAACAGATGCTGGGACTGGCACAAGGATGTTTTGACCACACTATTCCATATATTAAAGAAAGGATACAATTTGGCAAAAGACTGTTTGATTTTCAGGTATATAATTATTAGGGTCTTTCTGCTGCACTGGACTCCAGCTTCCTGTTAATAAAGGGCTGTGTTGAAAGCCATGGAGGGAATCCCTTCAGTGGGATTTTAATGGGAGAGGGGTAACGGAGGAAGGAATACATCTCAGGGAGTGTACTTGTGAATGCCTGGATCTTTTCCAAGGGCAGAGCAGTAGCCCTTGAGGCCCAGCTGTAGTGTGATTCAGGATATCTTGGTGAGCACCATGGAGCTCCTCACTGCTTCAGAAGCTCAGGGTAGGGGGTCTGGAGTCAGACTTCCTGGATTCAGATCCTGCTTCTTTAACTTACCAGCTTTAGGCCTTAGGCAAGTGACCTCATTCTACCCTTAAACTGCCTCATCTATAAAATAAAGATATAACTACTTACTTAACTTGTTTTAAATGAGGTATGTGTAAAGTGTTTCACACATTGCATGGGTATAACAGGTGCTCAGTAAATGGTAACAAGCATTTACTTCTGTTTGGACCAGAACCATGTGGTAATCCTCATAGGATTGCATGTTTGACACCTATGTCTCACGGAAGATACAGTTTGCTGCATTAAATAAAAATGTGGTGCACTCGGCCAAGCACTTGAGTAATACTGGTTTGGTCCAAATTCTCAGAGCTCCCCAGGCAATCTGGAGATTGCTTGGTGGCAATGGTAGCCTTATTGCCCTTGTTGAGGTCTTGCCAGTGTGAGGGCAGCCGGAGTGGCAGCTTACCAAACCTTTTAGGCAAGCTGAAGGCAGGTCACATAAAATTCCAGAATAATTACTTTACGTGGTTGCAAAACCTCCCCTTAAGCAGCTCTAGGCTCCAAGTGCAATCCAGTTCTGTTATGCTGCATTATCTTCAGGTTTATAATAATGACGAGGCATCCTATGAGCACACTCAGATTGCACACATATAGAGATACTAGGCTGTGGACATGCACAGTCAGTTTAAGAAAGAGAAGGACTGAGCATGCAGGCCTGGCTGGTGCCTACTGTAGCTCATGCTGTCATCCTCACTTCATGCTTAGGAACCTGAAGCACATGGAGACTGAGTTCCCAAGGTCGTGCAGCTAATATGGTGCCAAAAGTAGAGGGTTTTTTTGTCTTGGCTTCTAGTCGAATTTTCATTATACTGGAGAACTTTCTCAGAGCCAGCTACCACAAAGATTGCAGTGAAAGAGACAGAATGTAAAGGTTGTTTTGAAGGGAGTATTTTGATCTTCTTTATGCACAAGAAACTATGTTCTCATGCATATAGATAGATTGAAGGGGTCAGGTATACTAGCAGGCATAATCATAATGACATCTTTAGAGATGCCTATTATGGGTAGTTAAAAGAACTCTTAGATTTTTTTATTTTTATTTTTTAAATTTTGTGAGTACACTGGGAACCACAAAAATTTATGGGGTACAGGAGATGTTCTGATAGAGACATGCTATGTGAAATAAGCACATCCAGGTGAAGAAATTTTGATCTTAAAAATCAACATTATTAGCTGTATAATGTTTTGATTAAAGTTAGCAGAGTTTTTTTTCTAACTATTTTATCTCATGTTTGCTTTGCATGCATTTGTTAATATCTTTCTGACCTCGAGACCACATGGCCCTTGAGGGTAAAGACCAGCAGATTCATCCTTATTAGTTTCAATTGTTTATTTAGTATAGATTTATTTAGCATGTTCTCCATGCCAGGGCTTGTGTTCACAATGTAGTTAGGGAACAAGTATTCAGCAATGGTGAGTTCTTATAGAACAGTAGGCATGCCTCAGTCACTTTCCTGCCTCTCACGTACTTAAGGTGGCAAATGGAACAGACAGCATGGATAGTGACTGTAAGTTTCATTGAACCGAGTGTATTTTGTAAAAAGAATCAGAATCCTGAGTTCCACATAAAGAGTCAAATTTCTAGAACAGTGATACTGGTATAGAAACAGACAAATTCACTGATGGAACAAAGCAGAAAAGCCAGTAATAGACCCATGCATGTATGCGGATTTGATGTATGATAGAGATGGCATTACAGATCACTGAGTAGGAATAGTCTTTCTATACGAAAAAATAATGAAACTGTATTCCTACCTCACATCATACACAGAAAATAGATGTCAGATGTCAAGACATAATGTTAAAAGCAAAACTTTAAAGATTTTAGGACAACACAGAGAATATCTTCATAACCTCATGGTAGGAAAGGTTCTTGTAAACAGCCACAAAAAGGACTAGTTCTAAAGATAAGATTGGTAAGTTTTTTTCCTTGAAAGATGCCATAAAGTGAAAAGATAAATCACAGAGGAGAAGATATTAACTCTGCACATAGGTTTATGAGTGTTCAACTTACTATTATGCTTCATAGCCTACAGAGATGGAGCATCGTCTTTTTTTGTACATACAAAATTGTTGTGTGTATCACATATTTCAGAAAGAGAAAGAAGAATCTGTAGGGTGTTAACTAACAGTGCCCGTTTTCTCCAGCTTGGCCCCCCCTTTTGTTTAGGAAAGGCCATTGCTGGGATTCGTGTGTGATTGCCTTAATCAACGTTCACTGTCTTAATATTCATCACATATTATTATAATTACTTAATTTGTCTGTTTTCCCTGCTGGACTATATATTATAAATCATGAGAACAAGGAAATCTGGCTGTAATGTTCAGGTGCTACCTCCGTCGCTCAGGGCAATCTCAGAGGTGCCCAATAACTATCTGGGTGGATGGATAGGTTAGGCATGAGAAACATTTCGGTTTGTAATAAACATCTGTGCCTGTTATTTCCAGGAAATTATTTATAAATGTTAATGTTTGTATTCTGGCTCACTAAGTTAACTGTTGTTTCTTTCATTGACAAACATTTCGTGTGGCCTTAATCACCCTCTAAAATTTCAGGGTGGTAGTAATTGGTGCTTCAAATATTTTTCATTGCTTCGTAGCTAACATCTTTTAATGCCTGGTAAGCCATATACAAAATGAAAATTTTCTTAATTCAAGCAAATAAAGAATATTTTCGAAGTTTTGCTGTGCCAGGATTTCATTTAAGCTAAATTTTTGTCAAAAAAGAGTTGAAATCATTGTTAAATATAACAGTCAAGTTTTTAAACCTAACTTTGTGATACTTTACTATTTAAATCTTGACAATCATGAAGAATGACGTGAACTTTGAAGTTTTTTTAGGAAAAGAGGATTTAACAATACTAGCGTGTCACATTGCATTTTAGATTACAGATTTTAAAGTATTTAAGAGACGTGAATGTGAATTTCCTTTAGGGTATGTTTGGAGTCTGTCATTGTTGTGTATCTAGGCAGGACTTTGTGGTTGAGGTGCTTTTTTGAAATCGCAATTCTCTAACTTGGGCCTCACTGTTGTTATAGGGCCTCCAGCACCAAGTGGCTCACATGGCCACCCAGCTGGAAGCTGCAAGATTGCTAACATACAACGCTGCTAGGCTTGTAGAAGCTGGAAGGCCATTCATAAAAGAAGCATCAATGGCCAAATACTATGCATCAGAGGTAAAAAAAACAAAAAAAAGTAATAGTTCAGCCTCCCTTTTTTTCAGATATATAATTATTAACCTTTTCTCTTGGGAATGTTAACTGTACTTTAGTTGTTTTTCAGGTTAAGATAACATGGACTTTTATTTCTTATAATAGAAAAGCAAAACTGCTACAGAAAAACAGTTTAATTCTGTGAGGTCTCAATGTTTTGTGAGAACCATGGGTGTCATGTCCATGGTTTCAAGTTCTGGCAAAGTGAATGCTGTGGAAGATGACAGGTTCATCATATGAACAAATCAGATTTAAAACCCCAAGAAAAGATTGTCTATGTTTCTAAAACTTTCTGCTCATACGTCAGCTTTCTATAGCTAACACATTAGACTGTGGCCAGAGAATTTAGTCAAATCATTGGGCAGCTGTTTCCCAACCTCAGTGGAATCATATTCATTCCCTGGCTTTAAATTCTCATTTAACCTCTCCAGCCTGTAAGTTTAAATCTCCTGCCTCAACTTCTTTCTGAATTCCAGACTAACGTGTCCAGCTTTTCTGCTTCACCGTCAAAACCTGAGTGTCAGCTTGACACCCTGCTTTCCCTCATCCCCCACACTGAATCCGGCATCATTTCCTGTGAATTCTACCCCCAAAAGATTTCCTCAGCGGTGTAGTTGTCTCCCTCCCATTGCCAGCTCTGTACTGCGGTCACCTCGTTGCTCATCTGGTCCCTGGTACTTCCTCCCATTCAGCCTCTCTCCTTTTTCAAAGTGTCACCTTCCAGCTTTAAACCCTTCAGTAGCTTCTCACAACAAATGGAATTCTATCCATACTAGATTCCAGTTGCTGCTGTAACAGATCACCATAAAGTCAGTGACCTAAAACAATGCAATTCCATTTTCTCTCACTTCTGGAGGGCAGAAATCTGAATTGGATCTCACTGGAATACAGCAAAGGCGTCAGGGGGGCTGCCTTTCTGCGGTTCTGGGGGACAGTTGTTTCCAGCTTCTAGGGGCCGCTCACATTCCTTGACTCTTAGCCCCTTCATCCATCTTCAAAGCCATCAATATGGCACATTCAGATCTCTCTCAGACTCTGCTTCCTGTCTCCGTGGTCCCATCACCTTCCATGACTAACTCTCCTGCCTCCTCCTTTTTCTTACAAGGACTCCTGTGATTATATTACAGCCACCCAGATAATCCAGGGTAATCTCTTACTCACATCTGCAGTCCCTATTGCCATGGAAGGCGGTATATTCACAGCTCTGAGGGCTAGGATGTGGACATCCTTGAGGGGCCGTTCTACAGGATCTCTCGCCCCTCCATTCTCTTTTCACACCTTGCCCCTATCCCAGCCCACTGGCTGTCTCAGGGGCTGGAAGTTGAAGAGTTCATTCTCCCCTTAGAACCTTTCCACATGTTGGTCCCCAGCTTGAAATATCCCCTAGCTTGTCCTTTACGTCTCGGCTACACCGTAATTTCCTCCACGATTCTGCCCTTGTCACGGCCTCAGCTTCCTAACAGGCTCGTTTGCCCCAGGCAGTTAATCAGTTCCTGTGCTGGTTGGTTCCACTGGGCCCCACAGGGCAGTGACCGTCCGCCCTCACCATTGCATGGTGTACTCAGTGGCTGGCAGAGTTTGTCATACAAAGGAGGCTCTCAATAAACATTTCCTGAATAAATGATATCTCTCAGCAAGCAGATTCATGTGAACCATGATCTAACTTCTTAAGAAAATGGGGATCTTGTGAATTAATAGAATGTTTTACAGAAATGGTATGAGAATGGGGCAGAAGAGCCAATGCTAGTTTATAAAATAACTTCAGTCCTTCCAAAGCCACTAACAGTGAATCCATGTTGCTGAAAATGTTCCCCAGAAGTGTTTATGATGTATACATTAAGTGGTTTCAGTGTGTGATTTGTGCTTGCTTTTGGTAGATTGCAGGACAAGTAACGAGTAAATGTATCGAGTGGATGGGGGGAGTGGGCTATACCAAAGATTACCCTGTGGAAAAATACTTCCGAGATGCAAAGATCGGTAAGTAGATTTTTTTTTTTTTTGCATTTTATTTTGTTTTATTTGCCTCTATAGGGGTTTTGGCTATTTTATTTGCCAGTTTGATACTGCTACTGCCTAGGCAAAAGCAATTTTAATTTATTCAGTATAGGTGTATTGGCTCTCTTTATGTGACTGGGTTTTTTTCCTTACCTCGTCCTTCAAAAAAAAATGATTTACATTTTTTTAAAAATATCAAATTGCCTTTTTAAATGCCTCAACAGGCTTTTTAGTAAACTGCCACAAATAACAGTTTGAGCTTATGCATCACTTGTTGAAGAATCAAAATCTTCAACTTTTGATTAAACTTTAGTCAATTTAATACTGATCCTGGACATCTAGAAACCAAATGGAAAATGGTCATCTCTTAGTCAAAATCACTCTGTGAAGTAGTACCATATTCAGGGGCCATCAAGTGATGTCACTAGTAACTATTTTATAGCAAGCACAGAGCTGATGTTTATAGAGCTATTTCTTGTGTTAACCACGGGCCAGCTCCTCATTGTTCCTTCTGCTTCCTTTTGATTAAGGTACAATATATGAAGGAGCCTCCAACATCCAGTTGAACACCATTGCAAAGCACATCAATGCAGAGTACTGATGTCCATGAGAGTGGGACCCCTTCCTTGGTGTCACTACTGTAAAATCTCAGACTGTTGTGCCTTGTTGGGAGTACGTGCCTTGTATGGGAATAAACTTCCACAGTGTTGAAGGATTTTATTGAAGCCCTTAGTCAGGGTTCCGGGGTTGACCTTTTTGATTCTTTCTTTTCAGGCTGCTTCACTTAGGCGTGGAGATCTGCTTTTAAACTTGGGAAATACACACCTATGTTTTTTCCAAAACTGTTTTTAAAGTTCTATACACATATATTTTTCTTAGTTTGAGACAGAGTCTCACTCTGTCCCCCAGGCTAGAGTGAGTAGTGCCATCTCAGCTCACTGCAGCCTCAGCTTCCTGGGTTCCAGTGATCCTTATACTTCATCCTCTCAAGTAGCTGGAACTACAGGTGTGCATCAGCATGCCTGGCTAATTTTTGTGTTTTTAGTAGAGATGGAGTTTCACCGTATTGCCCAGTCTGGTCTAGAACTCCTGGCTTCAAGGGATCACCCACCTTAGCCTCCCAGAGTTCTAGGATTACAGGCATGAGCCACTGTGCCTGGCCTGATATTTATATTATCATTCTAGTTTCAGAGTATACAGAAGTTTCATTCCATCATTTGGAAAAATAAAGGGATTTGAAGTACAACATTACTTAGAGAAATAGTTACTTTATATTCCTATTAAATTTTAATCTTGTGGCATCAGAGAAATATTTGTTATATAGTAGGAAATTTTTATCCAGCACTTTATAGATTTAACTCTAAGTTGCAAGTGAGGTCAAAACTGATAAAAATTTACTTTGAAAAATCTAAAAATTCTGATTTTAAATATGAGCATCAATGGAAAATAAGGCTATAATTTTTTAGGTCATATAATTGAAGAAAATATTGTTTTAACAATATAAATCAATATTTGTTACTATAATTAACCTATGTAAAAGATACATTTCATGATGGTTTCAGTAGGTCATTTTAAAAACAAATCTCTGCATTAGTTTTCAAGTATATGGTTTAAGTAATTGGTTTAATAATCAAAAAATATTCAATACCTTGTTTCAGTATTTATTCTGAAGTATTCAGAATATGGTTTAAGTAATTGGTTTAATAATCAGAAAATATTCAATACCTTGTTGCAGTATTTATTCTGTGCACTATTTTTCAGTTGACCATGTCTGTATTTTAATTGAATACTGTTTCTTCAGACATGGTTATTGTACTTTATCCTGAATAATAATTCAGAAATTGGGTTTTGGTTCAGTGATTCTCAAGAGAAAGATCTCTTGCCCATTAAGAAGTGTATGAAAATTTCATAAGGAATGAGGGAGAGAAGGGTGCTATAGAGTTTGAAAAAGCATATTCAGTATTAAAATAATTTTATACCTGGGTAGGCAAAATGAATCTATTGTTTTGTAATATAGATAATAAACAGGCAAAATGCAATAAAATATACAGCTGGTTGTATTAATCTGTTTTCACACTGCTGATAAAGTCATACCCAAGACTGGGAAGAAAAAGAGGTTTAATTGGACTTCCAGTTCCACATGGCTGGGGAGGCCTCTGAATCATGGCAGAGGTGAAAGGCACTTCTTACATGGTGGTGGCAAGAGAAAATGAAGAAGAAGCAAAAGTGGAAACCCCTGATAAACCCATCAGATCTCGTGAGACTTACTATCATGAGAATAGCATGGGAAAGACCTGCCCTGTGATTCAATGTCCTCCCCCTGGGTACCTCCCACAACACATGGAAATTCTGGGAGATACAATTCAAGTTGCAATTTCCATGGGGACACAGCCAAATCGTATAACTGGTGATACCACTGCTTCAGTATTAGGGATTCTCAGTCAGAAGAGACCCCTCTGTGGTACAGTTCCTGAGTCCCCTCAGGAGGAAGGTGGACAACAGAGAAATGAGAGTTTTGATATTTCTGGAAGACGAACACCAGTTAGAGATGAAAAATGTTCCAAGGCTCATGTAGTTGCTTTAAGTAATCATTACTGTTAAATGAGAAACATTTTAGTACTTCAATGAAAAGACAATGTTTATTTTTTAAAAAACGGACATTTCCAGAGTAATTTTGCTTTGCACATTCATGTTTATTGAATTGGACTAATTTCTATAATGCAAATCAGAGTTAAATATTCAAAATTGTGTAACTACAATTGACATTAAAATACTAGGAAGAAACACAGACCTTGAACCCAGAGAGTTAAAGTCTACTTGCTTTCAAATGGAGAGATGACGAAAACCCACTCATTCAGTCTTTCCGAATAAAAACACAGTAATCTGATAAAAGTAGGAGATGGATTAAATGCCCTACAGGGACCTCAGGCATCTTTAATCTTTGTGATTATGTGAAAGAGGTAGACTTTACAGATAATGGAGCAGAAGTCAACATTAGTAAAAAGAATCCTAACTTCTTCCCATAGAATTAGAAACATGTGAAAATACAATAAACCTCTTGTTCAAATCAGCAGCATCAGAGAGCTTCCCATTTGCATCTGGACCTTGAATTTATATTTACTGATCAAGTTCTAATTTGTATATATATTTTGTGCATATTCACAAATAACAGTTAAAATTAATTATATTGTGCATTATGGTTAATATATGTACCTACCTTCTTCCATTAGTGAATCAGTGAATGGTAAAACATGTTATTTTGTCATTTTTCCAAAGAGGATGTTGTGGGTTTTCCCTGTGGTTCTTCCATTATAGCTTTTCTTTTGATAACCATGACTTCAGGAGCTTTAAAACTATCTATCTTGCGTTTGTGTCTGGTGGAGAACCAGCCATTAGCCTCCTGAAGCCTGCCATCATTGTTAATTTGACGATTGGCCTGTCATGGGGCTCAGAAAGTGGAGAACTGTTTGAGCAGAAGTGTGTGGGCTGTACTGGATTCCACCCAACTGCCAAGTTAGTATTGTTAGAGATTTCATTTTACAACACAAAAATGAACCCATGTCAAAGATTTTTAAATCATGGAAAGTTAAACCTAGAAAGACCTTAGAGAACCAGCCAGCCAACTCTCTCATTTTAAAAATGAAGGATTGATAGCACAGATTACTTGCCCAAGATAATCCAGGAACAAAGACAAGAATCCAGATATACTTGGGGACAAGAATTAGTCCCCAAATTCAGTATTCTTCCTAGTATTAAACATTGCCTCTTTCAACAAATTTTGGATTTCATAATATATTTCAGTACTCTTGTTGATTTATTTTAGGTTAAACTGATAAAGAATTAACATTTCAGAAGTGTTTATATTGATCAGTGTTACTGCTTACATATATGAATCACTTGCCAAAGATACTGGCATTTAGCAAGCTCTCCTCAGCTGTAACCAGTATGTCAAATATGAAGATTATTGTGTGGGATCCTTTGGTTTCATTGTTATGATGTATTTTATAAATGTACTAGTTATATCCTTGTTTATGTATTTTTGCTGATCTTTCATAAAACAAAAGTTTTGTTTTAATGGAATATATTGGATTGTATTCAATGTTGCAAAATCAATATTCTATAGCAAATGAAAAAAATAAAGGACTAAATTAACTGGAGATTTTTGGTACTCTTATAAAGCAAAATTGTTTGTTATACAGACAGATGAAATAAGAAAATAATGTAATCTTTCTGTAAGATAGATACACCTTTGTTTACCAAACCAATAACTTGCCTCTCATATAAGCCAATTTTATTTGTTTTCAGAGAAGAGGTCTTATAATGTAGACCAAGTTTAAATTCATGATGCTAAAGAAAACTTTGCTAGAGGACTCTTTTTTTTTTTAATGGCAAAATAAGCAGCTCTTCAGTAGAGAGTTCACCTCTTTTGAGCACATCCTTGCTATACAGATATTATCTGGCTGATATGTATGCCTGTGCTTTGTAGTATTACTTTTAGAAAATGTATATTATTGCACTTTTTGCTCAGTGGTACACTGTAGCCTAAGGCCATAGGAAATTTCAACTTATCTTCTCCTATTATTTTCTACATCACTTTAGAAATCTAGGTATTAGTGCCTTTTCTTTTTCTTTGTCATTTAGCAACATGTAGTGAGTGGCCGCTATGTCCAAAGTGCTGTGGACTCTGAGCCACCATGCAAAGATTAATAAGAACAGCTCCTTGGGATTAAAATTGAAAAGGAATACAGGACTGGAGATCCCAGATGGCCGATTACTAGCAGCTCAGGATTGTAGCTCCCAGTGAAGCGCAGAGAATGAGAGGACACCACACTTTCAGATGAATTTTTGCTGGAAATTCGCAGCGGAGGAGCCCCACGGGTTGCCAGCACGACTCTTGTGGCCAGCACAGCAGTTTTGCTGGCACCCCAGTGTGGCGGTTCTCAGTGCAGAGTAAACGGGACTGGGTCCCCTTTTGGTCGATGTTTGGAGCTCTTGGAAGGCAGAGTCGCCCATTCAGCTGATTGAAAAAGGAACTCAAGAGGTAAACCAGACCAGAGATTCCTAGGCAGAAAAGCACCAAGAATCTTAATGCCGCCATTTTAGCTGGCACAGCGCGTTGCTCAGATTTCGGTGCTGGGAATCAACAAGTTGGACGTCCACTCAGAGACCTAATTTGAAAGTCGTTAATTACAAAGACGACAGGTGGATAAATTTACAATGAAGGGAAGAAACCAGCATAAAAAGGCTGAGAATACTCAAAATCAGAATGCCTCTCCCTCTATGGGACAGTTCCTCATCAATAAGGGAACAAGGCCTGATGGAGGATGAGTGCATTCCAATAACAGAATTAGGCTTAAGACGGTGGATAATAAGAAACTTCTGTGAATTAAAAGAACATGTTCTAGGCCAGGCGCGGTGACTCAAGCCTGTAATCCCAGCACTTTGGGAGGCCGAGGCAGGTGGATCCCAAGGTCAAGAGATCGAGACCATCCTGGTCAACATGGTGAAACCTTGTCTCTACTAAAAATACAAAAAATTAGCTGGGCATGGTGGCGCGTGCCTGTAATCCCAGCTACTCAGGAGGCTGAGGCAGGAGAATTGCCTGAACCCAGGAGGCAGAGGTTGTGGTGAGCCGAGATCGTGCCATTGCACTCCAGCCTGGGTAACAAGAGCAAAACTCCATCTCAACAACAACAACAACAACAAAAAAAAAAA